TCTTGTAGTAGCTCTGAACGTAAAATAGTACTGGTAATTGTAGTATTTCTCTAGATTACTTTCTACCTTCGTGGGTGCCTTTCGAGAAGAATGGTTGAGAGAAGGAGTATGATGGGCACCGTTGGAGACGTGCAGTTTACAGATGAAGACTTCCACGTCGATTTGGACGAAGGATAATATGAAGAATTTCTCGAGCGCATAAGGGGTGTTGAAGAACATGATCCTCGACTCAGACGAACCTCCTCTGGAAGAACTTTAAGGTTTCCAGATTGTTTTTATTGAAAGCACGGCCATAAGCCGCAAGGTACCTCTTCCTCCATATCGAGCTGAATGAATTAAAGGAGCACTACAAACTAACACTGTTTCTACAAAGACGATTGATTATTGCAGTTATACACACAACTTAAGTGCCCGAGCAGGCGAGCAGCCGTGTAATTTTTGCGAGCAATTTGAGCAAAGGCCAAATTTTTCGAGCACTTTTTAATTGAGTGGGACCATTACACCCCTAATGGTTATTTCAACGAATAAGATAAGGCACTACATCATTTATCATCCATTCCATTTTCACTGCAATTGCATCATCACATGATAATAATAATAATAATGATAATAATAGTAATAAAAATAATAATGATAATAATGTTAGTAATAAAAGTGTAATTAATAATTACAATAAAAATTAATAAAAATCTAATTCCATAACAAAGCAGTGGGGTAGACTAGAAGGGAACTGACGAACCATGCGTGCTAGTCAACCCACTATAAAAAATACTAACTGGTGGTATGGGGGCGCTCAGGGTCGAAGATCTTATCTTTATAGAAAGTGGTGCATAATCTCTCAAAAGAAGAAACACTAAAATTGGCAGTCCTCAGTTCATCTGGCAAATTGTTCCATGAATACGGAATCCTGTTAAAAAATGTTCCAATAAAAAGTTCCGTCCTAACTCTATTAATTTTCAGTTTATTACAAGAGTATGATCTTAATATCTGATCTGAACAAAATTTAAAATACTAATCAAATGAAAAGTTAAAATGCCCACACTTCAGTTTGTAAAAGGTTGTGAGGTCCTTAACTTCTCTGTAGTAAACTAGTGGTAGTAGGTTAAGACGTTTTATGCGTCCATTATAGCTAAAATCAGGTAACATAAGCCGAGTCGCGGGTCGTTGCACCCCTTCTATTCTTTTTATCATAGTAACTGATTTTGGCCTCAGATTTTAGAGGCGTACTCAAGGTGAGAACGTACAAGAGTCCGCATAAAGGGATCTCAGAGCTGGTAGTAAAGTTCTGCTACCTCGGACTGAGCGACAATCGAAACTTAGCATTTTGTTAGCCTTGTTCACCTGGGCGTAAATAAACTATACCTTAGCTCACCACTGCACAAACTCAAAGTTTTCACCAAAGTTCCTTGAAATTAAGAATATTCCACAAAAGCTCTTTCTCTTGGCATAGCTTTCCAAACAGCCAGTCACTCCCGGAAACAGCAAATAACTACTACTAGGCGACCGAGTTCTTGTTTAAATATATTAGAGAGATTTAGCACCGCGTTTACGTGAAACGTGAACGGCAACAGTGACCACGTGACCTGGTTTTCCCGCCATTTTTTCACGTTTGCCGGTCGTGCTTTGCCGTCTCCACGTTAAAGTTACCTGTCTCGTGTTATCCGCGTACGGAAGATTTTGTTTCCTTTTGCTCTCACAAAGTACAAGTTAATGGCCATGGTAAAAGTCACCAGAACTATTCCTCGTAAGTCATACAGAGGCGCCTTCAAACCCACCACGACTTGAGCTCACGCGAAGCAAGGTTCGAGCTAATTTAAGTGAGAAGTGAAGGGGCAAGCTGATGTTTGCCGTTTCACGCAAACGCAGTGCTGAATCCCGTTATTTACAAACGGATTCCGGAACATTCCGGAAGCTTACTGTAACCGCTTTCGTTAAAGCTATATGTTACTGCTTCCGAAAGAAGCGGCGTAATATTTTACGTTTAGTTAACGCCTCCGTGGTTAGTTCATTTTAAGACAGAAAATTATAGTTAGCGTTTCAGCTCAGGATGAGACCTTGTGTAATCAAGATCCTTTCTAAATAGAAGACAAGTTAGACCGTAATCCTCGATAAAGTAGTCAAGACCCGCGAACGTTGGTAAGCAACAATTTATTTATGCTAACTCGTAGTTGTGATTCAAAGCGAAACCTATCGCTAGTTTTTTACTTTTCTTGTTTCTTTTAATTGCCACGTGCTCGTTGTCCAAATCGATATTAATCCTCAAAGTTATGATCGCATGATACTTAGGTAATTTCTTCACGTAATTGATTTCAGTTGACCGCTTCGATATAAGAACACCTCAAAGAATAGAAAAGGACTAAAGAAAGAAAAGATCCTATATTGGTTTGGTGTTTATCGTATGCGCATGTATCAACTCGGGAATCGAGTGCAAATTCTAACTTGAAAGGGAAACATTTAGACTTACAACATACTATCTGGGTACTATTACATCATAATTGCAAAACAAAACAAAAAGGTTCTAGAAAATTCTATAGAGAGTTCGTACATGCAAGTCAGCAGGACTAAGCATTCTAGAAATTTGTTAATACTTATTTTTTGGTTAATCTCCATAAAACCGTTGATGGTTTCATTTTAGGCTTTACAAGCACTAGAATATCTGGATATCTATCATCATTGTTATCATTTTTTGTAACATTTTGATACTTTTATTCATGGGACAACCACATCAGCACTGCTGAAATACTCATGTTTATAATTGTGTGTAAACTATTACTACTTCTACTACTACTTCTTCTATAACTACTGCTGCTGCTGCTGCTAGTCCTCCTCTTCCTCCTTCTCCTCCTTCTCCTCCTCCTCCTCCCCTTCCTTATTCTCCTCTTCCTCTTCTTCCTTCTCCTCCTCCTTCTCCCCTTCCTTCTCCTCCTCCTTCCCTTCCTTCTCCTCCACCCCCCCTTCCTCCTCCTCCTACTCCTCTCCTTCTCCTCACCTTCCTTCTCCTCCACCTCCCCTTCCTCCTCCTTCTCCTCTCCTTCCTTTTCCTCCTCCTCCCCTTCCTTCTCCTCCTCATCCCCTTTCCTTCTCCTCCTCCTCCCTTTCCTTGTTCTCCACCTCACCTTCCCCATCTTCCTCCTCCCTTTCCTTCTCCTCCTCCTCCCTTTACTCCTCCTCCTCCTTTTCATTCTTCTCCACCTCCCCTTCCTCCGCCTCCTCCCCTTCCCATACCTTCTCCTCCTCCCCTTCTTTCTCCTCCTCCTCCCCTTCCTTTTCCTCCTCCTCCTTCTCCTCCGTCTTCTTCTCCTTCTCTTTCTCCTCCTCCTGATCTACCCTCTCCTCCCCCTTCTCCTCCTACTTCTCCCCCTCCTCCTCCTATTACCATTAGACAGTGCTAATACTAATACTCCCACCACCACCACTACTGCTGCTACTAATACCACTACCACTAATACTACTAGAGATTATAAACAGTATACATTTACAAGGCAACGCAATCAGCGAGTGAATTATCGGGATTTACCTGCACCAGTTCACTAGCAATGAACGAGAAATTTTCAATACACCGAGTGCGGTATTGAAAATGATGAGTTCATTGTTTCTGAACGAGTACAGGTAATTGCCGATAATGCACTAGCAATGAGCGCATTAAAATTTTTATTATTCAAATTGAATACACTTCATAAAGGAACACTGCATCCCAAACTGTTGACAACGCACAAAGATACCTCAACTAGTTTAATTGGAAAATTCAAATTCGCAACCTTACCTTTCAATACAGATATTCCCCAAGCAGCTTCTTTTTTGGTGTTTTTAGAATTGCATCATCAATGAGAGAATCAATGTCTGCATCTGGCATATCGTCAAACTTTGAGTCGGCCGAAGCCATGGAGTAATGACAGTTGCGAGTTGAATTTACATCACGGCTATTACACCACCGTAATTACGTCAAGGAGTTTGTTTCGCTACAGCCTAGTCTCACGTGCTCCAAATCAGCCGATCATAAAATCGGAATTCGTATAGGGTATGAAAGTTGAGCCCTCATCATGCTGTCACTTGTTGGCTCTCTTCCTGAGTTACACCGCTGGTTCTTGTCCATGTTTTGTGGTCTACATAAGGTGACTGATCCATCATGTGTTACTAGTTCATTAGGCCCTGTCCACTGGCCAATGCTTATTCCCAGAGTATCAGACTCACATTTCCTCATGTCTTTAATCTCGAGTAAATAGCTTCAACCACACAACCAAGAACTGTTTTCCAGAACTCAAGAGTTTTTTTTAACCTTTTTCAACTTAGAGGTCACGTAAATCACAGGACCTAACCATCACTAATGCAATTGCACCCAATACGTTCAGACAAGTTATAAATGAATTAAAAAAATAGAAATAAATCAATATATAATCAAAATGTCAATGTTCCGTTGCTGCAGTCTAATAATTCAGGATGTTTTGTAATTCCATACAAGATAAAGCATTTCTGCACTCCCTTTTGGACCATAGCTTTGTAACCAAGTAGGCTCTCTTTCACTCTTCTGACATCTTATGGCAAACTTTAATCAAAAGACGACGAAAGCTAGGTGGAGTGGCGTCAGTAAACAAGTAAACAAGGTGTGCCATTTTTTATTCATAACAAGTAGATATTGGACAGTGCCCACTACCCAAACTGGAGATCTAGGTGTCTAATCTTTTCCGTCCTCTCGCCTGTCCGGCTTGCCTAATCCTACCAAGCGCCAGAATTTAAAACCTTAGGCGCCACAGCTCCAAGGATCTTTGAGGAACTTAAACCTAAAACGGTGGATGATTCAGAACCACATTATTTCACTTAAAACGTCCTTGCAAAATGCACAACCCACACTTTATAGAATTGTGTACGACAGACTCGGATCAACGTTATTGACGACAGATACTTATTCTTTTTTGGGGGGGGGAGGGGGTGGGTAAAAAAATTTGCTCAAATTTGAGATACCAGCTAATAATATTCGTTCAACATAATTTATTTGTACATTTTTTTCCATCTAAATATTTATAAGATAAATAAAAATACTATTTTATAAATATAACATCAACATTATGTAAAAGTCATATAAAATATATAATATATAGGCTGCTCATGACAGTTGAGATTAAAAATATCAATTTCTATCCAGTTATATTGTTCCATTCTTGAATATTACGAATTTTTGTCTTCAAAATACAATTTTAGACACGCTTTTTTTCTGTAAGAAAAAAGTAACCGTAAAGCACATATTTTGGTGTTAGATCGTTCCTCGTGCTCCCAAAACAAATGCAGTTTTATTAGAAGTGTTTTGACAGCTGCAACAAACATATTTTTGGACTTTGAGTTGAAAATGTTTCTTTACGCTTCAATAAAATTTTCTTTCATCATTTAAGTAATCAGTCTTGTGCCTTTTAAGATACACCTCTAAATATTACATCATGTCTGACAGTTTTTCATTTTTCCATTTTGACCGCAGCTGTAATAACTAAATTTTTGGTCTTTGAAGTTGAAAATATTTCTTACGATTCACCAATAAACTTTTTTGTTCTAGTTAAATACTCTCTCTTTTGCATTTCAAATACACCTTGTAAATATTCTTTAATTTCTCGTACTTATTCATGGTCTTATACGCCGAGCAATTTTCGCAAGTCCCTTGAAGCCAACTTGTATTTTTTCTTGGTGAATTTTAAAATATTTTAAGATTGACAGGGGAGCTTGGTTTTTGACGAAATAAATAACAGATCCAAGATGTGCAATATGTAACACACAAAAATGCATCATACGACTGTCACACACGATTAAGAGAATTTGACCTACTACACCACGAAAAATGTCAGTCCTGAATACTGTCTGTTCCTGCGTCCATTTATTGCCACATATCTCCTTGCAGACCAGTGGTATCCACAGTTATCTTGACAAACATTGTATCGTTCCGAATATAGCCACCTTGTCTCATTTCCATATGGGAAATGAATGTGGGGCATCCAGATGCTATGTTCATGTCTGATGTGGGTCTTTTAAAGCTTGAGCTGTTAGGCTCGGGGCGAAAGGCGTCATACGTGTCCCGAATCCTATCCTGGTCTATCAATCGAAAGTGGACCTTTTGGAGAAACGGCCAAGGTAATAAAGCATCGTATTCACCTCTCATGACAACGAAGAACATGGACATATGTGTTCCTTTGCCAAAGCCGTCTCCATTTGGGTAGAGACGAGCACAAACTTTATATCCAAATCGTCCGACATAAAAAGGAGGGCTGTAAATAGATAAAGTCTTTCCAGCGACAGCCTCTTGGAAGCGTTGGCTGTAGCGGTCGATCTTCCAAAAGTAAGTGCCATTATAAGACGTAGCTTCCAGCATTTGAATCTGCATATCATGATCGGATAGTTGAATGTCGTGCAGTGCTAGTTGGTGCTCATTTCTTTCCAGTCGGCGCTCGGACTCACGAGTGAGAGACACGGCGGAGTTTGGACTGTAATCACTAGCACCTTTCGGATTGGCAGGGGATAATTTCAAACGGGCCACTTCACCGTGTAGACTGCTCACCTTCCTCTCGTGTTCTCGCAACGTGTTCATTATTTCTTCCATCTGAGAAGAGACAAGATCCCCTTTAGTTCTAGATGCCTCAAAAACCTTCAAATTACCAAGCAGTTTCTCAGTGGTCCTCTTTTGTTCGATCATGGAGTTTTCGACCATGGACAACTTTGTCTGTTGCGTTTGTATGTTTTGTCTTGCTGCTGCCAGCTCCGCTGCTTGATTTTGTAGTTGATGCTCCAAAGCAGTTTTCTCTTGTTCAAGACAACCTATCTTCTCTTCCATCTGTTTTGATTTCTCGTTACATTCATGGCTCGAGTAGTTCATCATTTTCAAATGAGACTCCATATTCTCCGCAATGTGTTGATCAATTGTTCTTTTGGTGCCCTGTAGGAAAAAAGTGAACAAATACATGTTAATGTTCCTGCAAAAAATCATCACTAGCATAAAATAACGCACCAAACATCTGATAAAAACTGACTTGGATCGTGACAATACAGATAACATAAGTTTCTTTTTATATTGGATTCCGATCTGCTATTTTCTACTCTTAGATCTTTTCTCGCTGAGACGGTTACCGTTAAATCGCCTATTGCAACGAAAGATAAACCAAAATAGACCAGAAGCAGTTAACTAACCTTAAATTCACAGCCATGAATACTGAAAAGACAAAGATGTTCAGCTTCGAGACATTGTGTGGTCACGTGTTCTTGCATCGTGTCTCTTGGTATACCTTCTTCGCCACAGTTTAAGATGCACTGGATAGGAAACTTAGGGCAGACTTCTAAATGGTCCTTTATAAGACAAAATATAGACTTTATAAGACAAAAGACTTCTAAATGGTCCTTTATAAGACAAAATATAGACTTTATAAGACAAAATATAGACAAAATATAGACTATATAAGTTGAGGCCAAGTTGAGCTTCTATGTAATTGAAGCAATATGATAACTATGTTAATAATGCCCTGTGTTAACAGCACTCTTAACTGACAAAACAAAATTGATACACATTTTTGACAAACATGAACTCAATAGATCTGTACATGCACTGACGTGAACCTCAACGGACATTTCTCTACATTCATACTTTGAGACGCGCGTCGAGCCTTTCAGTGTTAATTCATCATTTTCTTGCAGTTATAGAGTTCGCTTATTTTGTTTTTGTTTTAACGATGGAGTTGATCATCTCACCTTCATATTACTATGCCGTACTTTACCACCACAGTACGTGCACGCCACAGCTCTGTTGATGCAATCATGCTCCCTGTGCGCCTCGAGGTGTCTTCTCTCCACATTATCACCACACGCTTGACATTTAACAGCACCGTGCTGGCAGCTATCTTCGTGTGCCTGTCAAAAATGTAGAGGATATATATTTCAAAACATTTAATTAATGTGAACTCTGCTTTATCAATTTTCCTTTCCTCTTTTCGATGCTTCACAACGTGACTTGCAGTATATTTTACATTTAAAAGTCACGCCACTCATATCATGTGAATTATAAGAGCTTGTCTAGCAAGGCCCTGGCTAAAGTTCTAGAAAGAAATATCTTTGTTTTACAGTTACACGGGAAACAAGCTCTCGCAATACCAGACTGCGGCACCTGCTTAAGCTGTCATGTTTTCACGAACCTCACGGCCTAGTCGAGATAGTTGAATGCCGGAAAATTTCATAACATGTTTGCGTGCGTGACATTCTTGGTTAGTATTTGTTTTAACTGAAGCTTCTCGAAGATTTGCACATTTCGGCGACGAGATGTACATTCAATACATTCTAGCCAAGAGAATTAGAGGTTGTTCTCGTAAAGTCTGCAGATTTCAACAACAGGCTGTTCGTAAGGACAAGTGTTGGAGGCAGCCGGGCGAATTCAAAAGGCGACTCTATGTTGGTAATTCAATGAAATTGTATGTAAGTTTGCACGATACATACATGCAGGTGTCGGAGCTCTCCTTTCCATTCGCATCCCTTTTTATTAAATCGGCAGAAACACTGGAGATTTAGAACTTCTCTCTCGCAGCATTTATCCCTTAAAGACTGCTGTCTCGAAATCGATTCACCATCTATCGTACATCCTGGGTTTTCTTGTCTGAAAGGAAGAAAATTCAAAGTTATTTAATTATAAAAATCATACTCTGTGCCTATTTCCGATACCTGATACGTCTTAAGTCGTTGAATTCAGACGGCATTTCCTATCCGGGGCGGAAAAAGTGTTGGACGTAACTCGGAAATCATTCCATTCACACCCTTCTATGGACATTTATGGCAGACCTAACGATCTGAATTTGGACAGATAGCAGTGGCTAAAACATTTAGACTTACCCTAAGAGATGTTCCAGACAATCCTTGCAAAATCGATGTCCACATGATGTCTGCCAGGGCTCATCAAAAACCCTGTTACAGATCGGGCATTTAAGCCTCTTGTCTACTTTGTCTACGAATTTTGTATCCACCATTTCGTCGATTGTGACAACCATAATTTACTCGGTGAAGTGAGTCTCACTAAAGCGTCCACAAGTGTATTCTTCTGATTTGAGGTTCTGTATGAAGATAAATGCAAAGACTTCAGTCAAGCTATTGCGTTTACAACTTTACTCTGACTAGAGATACATGTACTCATATAGTTGAACCAAAACAAGAGTACGTGACTCTGTCCATTTTCATGCATGACGTCAATTTCAAGAATGAGCGTGGCTTTTCGAGGTGGATGTCTCGCAATTAACTATGCAAGAGAATTGGCAACTAAAATAAAGCGTTCGGCATATATATAAGAGAAGTAACCTTTAATAATAATTAAAGAAGCAAATTCCATCAGCCCTTAGTTGTTGCTGGGTAATCTCTTGGGGAAATGGTAGTCTTACTTCGAGTTCCACTACATCGACAGTACGTGTCACTATGCAGTTGCGTAACTCAACTTAATATGCATGACTTGTCAGGTCGTTATATTTCATCTGCGACAAAAGACATCGATAAATAGCCGTTGTTTTCGAACTACTCTACGAAATACGAGTGGGAGACAGAATCGAGGGGCTCATCTTTACGTGCAATCGCTTAATTGAAAGCTCGAGGTGCCTTTCGAGTCTCACGTACCAGTGTCCCACGTTGACGTCATGAATAACAAGCAAATATTCACTCGTTACCGCCGGTTCTGTTTGGTTCCAAGCATCGCCTCTTTCAAAGTTCAAAACTGCCTTGTTAAAGTTGCTGATGTATGAATAAACGTTCTATAAGTTATTTTACGAGAGAACCATAATTATTCGACCGCTTTTTGGCTAATAATTTTATACAAGGGCCGAAGTCACGGGCCGAAGTCACGTTACAGTTCAGACGTAATGGGCGTTGAAACTCATCTACCTTTACCTACAAGCATTTTTTTTTCTCAGTGGAGAGTTGATATTGCATTAAAAATTAAGAGAATAATTTACGGAAAGTCTTACCATCATCCAACTTTTTTCACTTGTCTCCTTTCATCTTTGAGTTTCCGTTCAAATTCAGCAGCAACAACTACTCGGTGCTGGAAATCTATGTCACCCAATAGCTGTAATCATTTGAACGTAATAATAACCCTCTAGATTACCGGGTGGTGCAACTTTTCTATATACTACCCGTGCTTAAAGAGTTCCTATTAGTGTTTTGGGAAAATCTGAAAGCTGCATGTGCGTATCCAACCCAAAATAGTCTTGAAAGCGCCCTCTTTCAGTTTCATAGGTGCGTCAGCGAACATTGGATACGCTTCCGAATATTCCATGAAGTGTTTCAACGACACAAGCATAGATAATTCGTCATCTGCCGGCGTATTCGGAGAGCTATTTCTGAAACAGATTCTAAGGAAGTCGTTTGATAGACCGTCTGATTTGGAAAACTGTAGACAACCGGAAAATCTGAAATCTGCTCATGTAATTTGCTATAACTAGGCACATAGATAAATATGCGATAAATAGGCACACAGAATTGAAAGAAAAGGGAATTTTTTCTATATACATTTATATTATTTCACTATGATGCTGCCGGCTGTGGAAAGAGAAATTACAAACCGTAACATGACGTCAGAAGGAGGGGGCTCCCCTTTCTTTTATTTGACAGCGTTGTCACGATTATATTGATCGATAAATATATCACAAACCATAATATGACGTCAATGGAAGGGGGTTCCCCTTATTTTTCGGGTGACAGCGTTGTCGCCAGGTGATTTTGCACCCATAGGACTTATTGAAATGCGTAATTCATAGGGATTTAAGTGCGTGGTCCGATAAACCAAACAGGCAATCCAACTAGCTTACGCAAATGGGTATAATTTATTCCAGTATCTTATTATTCGATCCAGAGAAAAGAAATTAAATACATTTGAGAAACTGAACAAGATCTATCGACACATTAACACACAAGTCAAACTGTTAGCTAGAATTGCAGCGCTGATAACCTACTTCAGTGGCGATGTCTAGTAGGATTGTTTCACGGTATACAGGTCAGCAACAGATATAACAGATCAGGGTATAACAGAATACGAGTCAGCGCGACAGGTCAGCAAAACATGAAGGTCACCTCGAATCTAAAACGTCTGAACTCAAAGCAGACTTATTCAGGTGGCTGAATTACGTAACTTAGTGTCAATCGAAGTCAATCAGGAAATCAAGTTAATAATTCATTGTATTAACGAAACAGTGCGTTTACTGGGTGACGTCAACACTGCTTGTTTTATGTGAGGAACACAACCTCAAATATCAGTCGCCACGTTATGTCTACTTACTTAGACTCGCTGCGTTCTGCAGTGCCTCTTTCAACTCCAGGGAAAGGAGTTGGTGCAAAGCATCGAAACCGATCACAAAACATGCCAAGTTGTAATTTACACCATGTGTATTATTTCTCTGTTGTTCGATGGACTTGCATTACATGGCAAACTCATCAAAACATACTAAAGCATACAATAAAGCGTAGGAATTGATGATCATTTTCGCTAGTTGTATTTCTCTACTGGTAGACTAACCTGCCTAAAATGTCCACTAGTCGCAGAGACATCTGGGCCTTAATGTTCGTTCGTTGACTTTTGATGTGAAAAAGGAAGGTTTTGAGTTTAAATGTTCCTGTGCATATGACATTGTGGTTGGAGTCGGGAATGCTGAAGGAAGCAAAAGCGCAGAAGACGTACTTCCGCGTGATTGAATTTTGGACTCCCTGGTGATTAAAAGGTTTACCTGATGCTTGGGAATTTTTTCTTCGGGGACATGATGTTAGGGAGCTTTCCCCTAAAACTTTGGCCTGTGGGTCGATGCGTTTACTGTTTCTGAAGGTGCTTACCTTGTGCATAACATATGATGTAGAGTTGAGTTCAAAGTGTAAACGAGACTAAATTACTGTCGCGTGACTGAATTGCTGTCGCAGGTGCACGTTGCGCACTGGAGGACGTAAAAGTTGGTGATTTTATTTTAGGGTTTTTTTTCTGCTTGGGACGCCTAATAAATGTACAAGGGTTGTTTGAAATGGATAAGTTGTGGTTTTTTCTCATGATTATTATAATCAATTAAGTGATTAATGGATCATTCGTGTCTCTCAGTATGACTGCAGATTGAAACTGCATGATTACAGAGGTCAGATAACATCAACTTTCCGACTAGAACTCTGAAGCCTTTCTAAACAGTGCGGGATAGTTATTAAATTTGGTAATAACTTTACGTCAAAACATGGTGACCATTTGGGAAATCGAAAATTTTCGTTCCCAATTCGTAAAGTCCCTTAGTATGACTGCAAATCGAAACTGCACGATTGCAGATGTAAGATAAGAACCAACTGTCCGACTAGAACTCTTAAGGTTCTCTGAAGGATAATTACTCATATTATTGAACATTCGAGCAGTACTGGTACTATTACCCTCATCCACAGAAACTCTTAGACTAATTTTGATGTTTTAATTAAAAAAAAATACTAGACGCATAGCTGCGTGAAGTCGGGCTTTCAATATCGCACATCTGGAGTTATCTTTCAGCGACTGCCATATTGCCATTGTTACTGTCGTCACGCAGTTTCGTCATTGCTGGTCATGAATAAGTCTACTTGTGTTTACTTTTGTCTGCTGGAGTGAAATGAATGTTGTTATGGTACTAGACAACAATCAAAATAATATATTACCATATGGGAGTAGGTTCCTATAGATACCAAAAGTTGAAATTCAAGGACTTTTGAATGACTTTGAAGGCCAAGTTTTAGAAAGTTGAAGGACCACTTTTTAAATCGAAAGGTTTGCGTAAACAAATTTGAAATTAGTTCATATTATTTCTCAGCTTTTCCATGAAAGTACTGTAATTTTCAACTTGAAAATTGCTCAAGAAAAAGCATTGCAAAAATCAAGCTCTAATCCTTAAATTGAAGTAATTTCAAGGCCTTGAATTTTTTATTTTTAAAATCAAGCATCTTCAAGGACTTTCATGACTTTTACGAACCCTGTATAGGTAATGTATTTGCATTTCACTGCAAGGAGAAGGGAATTTTTTATCTATTATGGGCACCGGGTCATAGTTTGTTGCCAAATATTCACCCAAGAGGAGTTTTCAGAAATCGGTAGATTGAAGTAATATTACTGTTGAATAGCTCATATTGTTTTTAATAGAAAATTCTCTGAATATTGAATATTGGTGATGGCCGTTACAAGAGTAACAGTGCTATTTACAGTTTTATTATATTCAATTAGAGGCATTTGACTTTTATTAAATACCAAGAGGGAATACCCATATTTTCGTGGGCCTTTTCGTGGGTTTAAAAGTACATGTCATCCAAAAAACTGAAAACCACATAATTCATTATTATTTCTTACAAGATTTTCGAGAATTGATTTGCTGTCAACTGAATCAGACAATATTCCTTCACTGTAATCACTTTTAGGATCTAAACTTACTTCAGTTCCACAAACATCAACAGGTTTTGGCAAATCATCTGACGGTAAATTGAAAGGTGAATTTTCATATAGTCTTCTGCCATACTAAACAACATTAGATAAGGTGTTTGAATTCCAGTGGAGTTGCAGAGTGATTGGACAGCCACAGCACAACTCACATTGAACTTTCTGGTTTCACAGGCATGACTCTGAAAGGGGGTAGTATTTTGAACCTTATTAATTTTAACCCCTTTCAACTCAAATACATCATTGTTATGTATACCCTGAAAATGGTGTACTAAGCTATTCAGTGATGATACTTCAAGCAGCACACATGTACCATGAAGATGGCTTCTACCATAAATATCCCTTGCATGAAAATCGAATATTTTCAAGCCCACATTACCTTTACAACAGATAGGCACTGCAGTACATCCTATTGTCAAGACAAAATTGTTGAAATTTTCGGATATAAGTGATTGAAAGGCTCTATCTAAGGAGGTACAGTACTGATATCCTTCTATTGTAGCTTCTTGATGAATAGTCCCCGTGTAGCTCTCACTGTATTGAAGTTCATAGTCAGTCTTAAACACATTTAAAAGTGTGGGTAATTCTGTCTGCATTAAAAAGGATTGTCTGGTTAACTGAGACAAACTTGAATACAACTGATTTCTAATATTCATTATAATTGACACGAGATCATTAGCAGAATCGATTCCTTGTTTGTTATTGTAAATCAAAGAGCATAAACACATTGCAACACATTGTTGTCCTGAATTTTGTCCAAATACCAACTCATTAGCTTCGCTATATGGTGCCGTTATTGTTTGCTAAGGTACATTGAAGTAGGACCAGGGTTTTTCTCTTTATCTGAACTCAGTTGAAATTTACAATAGCTTGATACGTGTGTCTGACTCTTATAAAGATACATGGGTCTATTACAAGAAAAAATTGATAAATACCGACTTGCTCTATACTTCAATTTAATTATCCTTTGATATACCATCATAGAACAATTCAACAAATACCTCTCAAGTTGTGTAACTTTATTTAATCTTATCCCCTTCGTATTAAGCTTACAAACATTCTTTGTAACTATTCTAACATTCACATAGCGACGTAGCCAAGAGGACTTCAGTATGCTTGTACAAATACTCTCCAACAAATCAAATTCAAGCAAGGAATTGTCCACGAAGGCAGCCATTGCTTTAAACCATGCGCTCTAGTGTTCATTCTACGCATGCACTTACACTTCACGCATGCGTTGTAGTGGAACGGTGTTTTGTGACTGAACGCAACAAAAAAGCCGAATTTATAGCGGTGCTCCCACGCGCGCGAAGCGCGCGTGGAGCAGAGCCCCATTCCCATGGAATATGGTCAACCTATTTTCATTTGGTTGTCACGTAACTGACCGGGCGTACATTCGTTCTTGCCCTCCTTCATGTATGCTATCACGAAAATGCTATATGATCACATTTAAAAATATGGCGTCCGCACGGCCGACCTTCAAAATTTTCAGGTCGGAGTTTTCGTTCATTTGCGATCGAGTTAGACCTTGTGGAACTCAGAATGTAAAGTAACAATGCTATAGAATACTCTGCTTGGAAAAGAATGGATATCAAGGTCTTAAAGGCGACAGAATAAGCTCTCGAGTCAACGACACTACGATTCTCTAAGACGATGCGAATTATGGACTTAAAGTGAAAACCGAAGTTTCGGACTTCAAGCAGGGCCAAGCGACAATTTGACGATTCGATGGCCCGGTAAATGTTATTTTCAAGTAACAATGTGTTAAAAAAAGGATTGTTTAATAGAAGATTTTGCGTCAAATCCAAGTTTTTCAGAATTTTCAACATAACGCTGCGCAATTTCTGGCATTGAAGTCAAGTAAACAACGATCTAAGCATAATGAATTTTACCGGGTGGGCTTTCTCCACGCAAGAAATTCGTACGTTTTTCGCTTTTAACAGCAAATCAAAAACTGTTTTGAATAAATCTGCCGTCCCGAGATAATTCTTGGCCATTTTAGTCTTGCATCCTATTGATATATTCCATGGAACTTGACATCTCTTCACTCACGGACAAATTCGCATATTTCATTTTCAAATATGATCCACATGCCCGTTTGCACACATGCGAAAATATTTAGCGATTTTTATCTTTCATTTTGATTTTTGAGTTAAAACGTAATATGCACCTATCGCTTTTTTCGCCGGAAATAAGTTCTTTAATTTTTCTTCTTTCACTGGAGCTTGTTTTTGGGAAAAGATGATTTTTAAAAACTTACTGCGCGTTGTCAGTTTGCTTTCTTGGTTTCTCCAAAATTTTGACTTTTCACAGGCACGTGTTACAAGTAAGTGTGAATG